TCTGTCAGCAGCAGGGATGGTGGGAAGTGTAGGAGCATCCATAGCAGCTTGACATCACTAAGGGATTCCCAGACACTAGCATGAGCCTCCTTTAGCTGGCTACATGGGGAGTAGAGCTGCTTTGCCCACATATTGCATGTATGCTTGTGTAAATGGGGTGCTCTATTGTAGTTAATGTAGCATAGCAGTGTGATTACCACAGGTAGAAATGCAGGATGAGGAGTGAGTACTGTGTAAAGTCCTAGGTGTGTACTTATCCAAGAGCCTTTCCTAATAGTTGGCCGTAGAAACAATCTGTTGCATTCCAGAAACATACATTTGCTCTTCAGCCTTATTTCTATAAGCCTCAGGAATAAAAGTTACACCTAGCTGAGATAATTTATTGAAAACAGATTGGTTAACGTGTTATTTTCGTTAACAAGAATGTCCAGAAGCATCCCTCCAGCTTACCACTAATAAAGGTGACCAGAGTAGAGTTGGTAATTAGTATTTTTGATCCTTAAGAAACTAACTGGGCTAAGAAGTTCCCTCATTTATATCCCTGTTTATAAGAAGAGAGAGCACCTTAGAGTGGTACTAAAGACACTGAATGAAAGATGAAGTGGCAGAAAAGAGAGACAGATTCCCAAAATTAGGTAGGAAATATGTTCAAACCTGTTAAATACTTCCTAAATCCAAAGAACTGGACACCACGTTCACTTACAGTATGTCTTTATTTCTCAGTGCATTACATGAAAGGTCTTTGGTATTTGTGGGCTCTTGAATATTGTTCCCACTTGGCTCTGTAAAAAAATGCTGAATACAAAACATTCCATATACAGTAACAAAACCCATAGCAAAGAGAGAACTAGATACCATGAACAATAATATAGCAATTATGAGAACAGAGAAGTACCATGCAAGCTGTGGGGTGAACAGGTTGGTTTTTTTCCCTCCATTAATGAGGTTTGATGATAAACTTTAATGCCTGCCATAAATGAGTTCATCAGGTCGGAAGAGATTTACTATTGCTTTCTTAACAATTATACATGATCACAAGATACTGTGTAATGCTGCCCTATAAAAAAAACAAAGATTTTAGAGCTTATTACAATGAGAAAAGCCAGGACCGCTTGCACACATACAAAACACACAGATATAAATAAAAAATACTGTGTAAAATAACTAGAGGGAAAAAAGTTAGCTATTTTTTCTATGGCTTCGAATGTGTGTACATGTATAGCACCTTTCTGATTTGCTTGGGTAGTGATTGCATAAACCATAAGGTGTTTGACCCCACCCACCCAAACTATTAAGACAGCAGAATGAAATGTCACTTTGAATAGTAGTGAGATTACAATTGTGCAAGGAGGAATTTCCAATAAGTCAGTAAGAACCGTTGTGCATTGAGAAGTAATTCCAGAGCTGATTGTTTGTCTTTCTGCAGCCACGGTAGCAGGTAAGTTTCTACATTAACCTAATTAATTCTGAAGAGTGGGAATGCGTCTCGGATCCAGGTCTTTCACTTGTGCAAATCGTCATAAATCTAGTGACCTCACTGTGGAGCCTTGCTGATTTTTATCATCTAAGGATCTGGGCCTGACTTCAAGGCCTGATCCTGCTCCCATTAAGGTCAATGGTAAATTGCTATTGCATTTTATCTTCAAAGGGGCAGAAATGGCTCTTCTTTCTAGCTAATTCTAATTTTCCTGCGTTTGTGTCAAGTCTTCACAATAAGTGCCTTTTGGATGCTCTGGACTGAAGCATTCTCTGTTTCCTAAGAAGGTACAGCTGGCTGGTGAAAATCAGGGTTAATGAACTACAGCATATTCAAACGGGCAATATGCAGCCACTGCTTCTGGTTAGCTCAAGGCAACGGAAATGCTTTTCTATCACCAGAATCAATCCAAGCTGAAAAGCATTGGAGTTCAAAGAAATACGTTAAGTAAGTTCCAAAGAAGTCTTAACAAAGGAAAAGAACACACTATGGTATTGCACAGTATGCACATAAGATAAAGCACTAACATTTCAATTAAAATACACTTCTAAATGAGCACGCATCTGAAATAAATTCCATCCCCATAAGTTATGAAGAGATGGCAAAATGCATATGCCCAAGCTAAAATGAATCTTAGTATCCTGCCTAAGATAACAAAATGGGATCAGAGTGGTTTGTTTAGTCATGAATATCATTAATTAAAACATCAGGTTATGTTCACCTTTATAACACTTATTTAGACTGAGACTGCACAACAATATCGTATAACTATTGACCAGTTAAAAAGGAATTAAACCCCAGTACAAAAACAATGTTCACAAAATATGAGCCGATTGCTTCCCAGGTTAAAGATACAGTACCACGCTGATAGCTATTGGTATCTAACTAAAACAAGAAGTGTTGGGAGCAGAAAATTACATAGCTTTTTTATAGAAATCTGCACAAGTTGGTAATTAAAATGATGTTGCAATTTGAACCTGAAACAGCCTTTTGACAATCAATCTGGTAGGATTAACTGCAAACAATTTCAATTAAATTTTCTTTTGTCTTGCCACTAATTTGTTTTAATTAAAATCCAAAATCCTAGTCAAATGCAAATAAACTAGAGAGACCACTCATCAACCTAATACACTAATTTTTTTTACTTCATGAAGACTAATTTGTAGAAAGAAAATTATCCCTTTCAATTCACTTGAGAGACTCTAGAATCCCAGCGAATGCTAATAATCCACCGCATCACATTTCTCTACCTTCCCTAAATTAAATCCAGTAGCTACATGATCGTTGGAACAGAAGTTTGATATTTCCATTTTTAAAGATCAGGCAGTAGTTTTTATTTTGCCTCTGAAGTTCTTTATTGGGAAAACTCTTTCTTTATGAGATGAACTGCGGCTCACATCAGCAGGATCATCATAAATTTTTTGATCAAAATGGTCTTTCAGGACCCAATTTTCCAAGTGCTCAGTACCAGGCATAAAGGACCATCAGGACTAAGATTCTCTGCTCAATAAAAGATGCAACAAAACTACCTTGTAAATGTTTAACCACTGCTCGACCTCTAAAAATAGAGTCAACATTTTGTTTGTAAGGGGGAAGAGAGACTGTTCCAAGAAAAATGTTTAATGCAAATGTGGAATGGGGGTGCTATAACAAGACTTGATGCTATAAATTCCCTTTAAATAATTTCATGCCACCCAAGACAGTGAATTGAGGATAATGTTATAGCTGGTTTACTGGACTTGTTTGTCTGCCATCTGAAGGCAGATAAGCTGTTTTTATTAGTATTTTATATTTAGAATGAGAGCTGGTTGCCATTTTTTTTCTAAAAGGTTTTGATCTCAGTGAGTATTTTGCCCACACACTTGTTGGAGTCACCTTGGGACTTGCCAATAAGATCTATTTTGAAGATGATTTTACTGTCCTGGAAGAATTAACCAGGGTGAGACCATTTCTCTGTGTCAATGACTTAATAGGCAAGGACAAAGTGTTTCACCCTCTCTAGACTGGGTTTTTTGCTCCCTGTTTTGGGCTCCTGCAGACATCACAAGAAGAGACCTTGTCCAGAATGCAGTATGAAAAGATGTACTAAAGACTGTGAAATATTTCATTTTGGAAAAATGATGCATTCAGGTTTTAAACAGCGTTAAGCTCTCAAGGTTTTGCATGGAAAGAGGGAATAAAAGATGGCACCTGAGCATATTTTATTTTCTATCCTCAGAAATTTGCTGCACTTGACTTGAGCAACAAAAACCTTGAGTGAGGATCCAGCTACACACCTTGACTATTAAATGAACCCCAGGTATTATTCACAATTACTAATCAGTGCCAGTGGGTTAAGGAAGCACATTGGATTACAGCCTTCAGTACTACTTAATTCTTGTCCATCTCCACCGCTTAATTGTACAGCACTCAGCAACTTCTCTTCAAGGAGCACTTTCTCAGGTCATGACAATACTAGTTTATCATAAATAAATGCTACTGACTTCCAACTGCACCTGTTTTAATAAGGCCAAATGAACCTCACCTATAATTCTAATTACTCCAGGTTGAGTTCTCACCGTTTGTTTCTAGCAATGCAGTGTTCATAAACCTGATCTGGATGTTTCAAGATCACATTACAAAGAAATACAACATAAACATCCGCATAAAGTTAATGTAGTGCCCCAGTAATGTCAAACTGAAGGCACTAAAGACTGAACACCTTATTTTATCCAAGGAATATGTCCAGTGACAGCCCAAATTTCTAATGCTCTGCATGCCTCTGTTCTGACCCTAGGGGCACCACCTTCTGTGGGGAGAGTGTACTTAAGTCTACATTGTCTGTTGAGTAGTTGGCCTCTCTGCTGAGGGTATCAACAAAGGCAGCAACAGATTGTACTGTTAAAGGTGGTTCTTAGCACATGGATATATATTGTATTAGGGAATGACTTTGCCAACAGAAACCATTAAGCAAATGACTATATTTGCCATTGCCCTGGACTGGTGACTGAACACTGTTTAAAAAACAAACCTATTGTTATCTACGTGAATGACACTGACCTGACCTATGTGTTTAGACAGCAGATGCAACATATTCATCACCTGAGAGAAGGCAAAACATTCCCAATCAAACTGGGTTTCGCTACTAAGTACTTTTGCAAAAGGTAATATGCCAGCTTTCCGCTGCACAATTACAAGATAAACCATTGGCAAGAGTCTAATCTATACAACCAGTGATTCTCAACTGGGGTACAGCCAGATCCTTTGAAGGATGAGTGAGGTGTGAGGAGATAAGTGAGATGTGGGGAGATGGGCTTGCCCCATCTGAACCATCCTACTGCCCAGTCCCTGTGCAAGGAGGGAAGCATGATAATATATAAATTGTTTTTGAAACTGGGTGCTACTCAATTCACAAATGTTGAGAACTACTGCCTTGTATGATATGTTGCCAGCACACTGTTTTCTGATTTGAATTGCTAGGTGACAATCAATGGATAAATGCACTTATGATACATGCTAAATAAAATTGTATCCAAACAATTCCTAGAGCAGGGGGGCTGGACCCCATGATCTGACAAGGTCCCTTCCAGCCCTAAATTTCTGTGAATCTGTGAATTCCTCTTTATGGTATTAAATGGGGCAAAACATTTTCTGTGAATATTTGTTTCTAGCATTAAATGAATCTTTTTTGGCTGTTTGAGTGACACAAACACAAACTAGGTATGAAAACTTCAATTGTCTTACTGCTACAAATGTTTACAAAAAGAATTTTGATCACATGCCTGAATATGCAGAGACAATAAATTTAGTACTCCATAATTAGTCACAAAAGAAACCTGGTAAGAGTATGCTCATCCAATCACAAAACACTCGCAGCTCAACACAGCTCAAATCCTAGATTTTGAATTTCAATCAAAAACTAAGAATAAAGTGGAATAATTTGTGGAAGACTTTGAACGACAAATACGTACATTTGCGAAAAGCCACCATCTGTTTGTTTCACAAACAGAAACCGTGAAAAATTTGTCAAGTGATTCATTATTAATTTTTTGTTCTACTCTTTAAAAAAAGTAATCCTTGCAAGATAGGTAACAATGCCTTAGCAGAGCTACTGAATGTGGTACCCTCAACTGGAAATCAGCAAGAAAATGACCACGGTTCAAAATGACCACATGCCAAAAACTATTGTATCATAGTGCACAGGGCTTTGCTTTGAGCTAGGGTAGGGCTGAATGAGGTCTAAGCAGCATTTTAACCAAATAACATGTGAGAAGGAAGAAGGCAAAAGAGGAGGATTTGTGCCTTTTTGAACAAACCTGGGGATATCCACTTCCTGGGATAGCTTCTAGAAACATGTGGCATCTGGTATTTCAGATGTAAAAATATAATTATTCTTCATGTGACACTTTCAGCAAGAGAAGACATGCCCTTGCAGTAATGGCTTAGCAATATCCAGCCAAGGCAATGCCACTGCCAGCTCTGCAGCTTCCTAACCACTTCATTCTGCATGTTGCAGTTAAGCATGAGGATACTGTATCTTTAATGGGCAAATGGGCTGTAGAAATTACTAACACACATTTATTTCATTCTGTTGCTTTTCCTTTTGGCTTCACTGTCATCCAGCAGTGAAGAGAGGACCTGGTAGGGCTGGTGCCGCTGCTGGGGTCCACCACGTTTGATCTTGATGCTTGCTCGTAGAGGGGAGCCTGACATCACATCCTGCCCAGAGCCTGGTTCAACGGAAGATAGAGAGTCTAAAAGAAGGTAAGACAAGGGAGACCGCTACTTAATAGGAGAGACAGTAAAGGAGCAAGCGAACAGTCCTGAAGGCTTGAATGGTATGTGTTATGATGAAAAAAATGAATGCCCTGCTCCTGTTACATTCCTCCTCTGCTCTGTGCCTTTCACCCATTTCCCTTTAATGTTTCTTCTTCTTCCCCTTTTCTTTCCACTTGTATCGTCTTAATTAACCCACCACTGAACACCACACACAAAAGTTGGCTGCCGCTGTATTGTCCCGACGCCCTTACATTGTATATCTTGTTTAGTTCAGTTTGTAAATTCTTTGGGGCAGGGTCTGTGAGCTAAGCTATGTCTGTCCAGTGCTTATTTGTTCTCTCTTGGTCTGCAAGCACTATAACAAACATAACCAATGTAATAGTGTTTGGTGATTAATACTTAGGAATGTTTTGTGGTCCTTGGAAGATGGCAGTTATAAAAGGGCAAAGTGTCGCATAAGCAGACATTGAGCAAACACTGAGATTCCACATTATGGAGGGTTTACTAAGTATCACCCACTGTACAGATGAAAGGAAATGAAGCACTGAGTAGCTAAGTGGCTCAGCCAAGGTCATGTAGCTCATTTATTATAGCAATGAGAATAAATCCCAGCAGGTTGGTCACCCAGCACTTCAGACATTGGCTTGCACTTATTTTTTTTATAGCTCCCCTGCCCTACAAAGCTAATTTTACTTTTGGCAGTGGCAACAGCATTTTTCCAGTGTTCAGCACAGATGTTGAAAACCCTAATGCAGCTTCTTCATTTTGAATGCCCCAGTTTCTTTTCCTTTGCCTTCAGAGATGGACACTTGTTCCTTTCTCTGCCAAGGGTCCAGCTTCACTAGCCAGATGTCCATCGGTTATTTGCTCACAAGATGCAACACTTCTGTCACAAGCAAGTGTCCTGGTACAAAGGGATTTTTGTTGCTTTAGCTGAAAAAGTCATTGCCAAATGACTGACTGGGTTTTCCTGTGTCCTGCTGGGCTGCTCTTGGGAGCTTGCTAATCCTCTGATTATCTCAAGTTTCCATCCTGTTAGAGAGGAGTTTGGTTTGTCAGTATATTTTGCTTTGTTGCTTGGGTGGTTTTAGTTTCCAAAGCCGCAGGGATGTCTGTGAAAAATGAAAGCATGTGATTGGCATTTCAGTGTGGGCCTTCTCAGCAGGGCACGCTCTGGCTGTACTGAAGTCTATGGCACAGCTACACTTAAAGCAGGGTCAGATCCTTGGGATCTGGTGATTTGAAAATTGTGTGGTGCCTTCTTACTTTGGGAACCAGCTACCAACAAATTCCATTCAGTATAACAACCGCTGCATGCAAACAGGGCTGCGTTGTACTTCCTGTTTCTTCAGACTTTGGGGTTAGTGAAAGACCAGTTTTGAGCCAAAGCTGTTCTTAAGAATTCAATACACAATTTGGTGTGAAAGCCAGGGCAAGAATGGTTAATAATCCAACTTGCTTGTAAGTAAAATAATTATTAAGGAAATTTAAACTAAGCACTCTTGCTCAATCTCTTTGTCTTTTAGAGAAAGCTTTGCATTTTTACATGAGTTGCAAATTCTGCACAGCAAATATTTGGGCACAATTTAAGTTGCTCTTTTTTAGTCATTAAGGCCCTGTATTTCCAGTATTGGCTCATTCTCAGGGCATGTTGCAAAGCCTATTTAGAAAGACCTTTCTTGCTGGGTTGGTTTGAGAGCAGTTTTGCTTGCAGTTGACTCTGGATTGATTTTGTCACATAACATTCTTTCAGGTGCATGTACGCAATGATTGAGCTGCAGTTTAGACAGTTCAATATTATTTTAGGATTATAAGGTATTAATATTTCTATTCTTTCTTTATAGCATATGAGCAAAAATACACTAGTAGTAGAATAAGAAAAAAGGAAGTATATATATTAAGGTGATGTTTAAACCCAAATGTGTTTGTTGCTTTAACCAGCAGTTAACTCTTGCCCTTCTATTTGTCTGTGTATGCAACAACACTGGTATAAATATGCTTATATCAATATGACTATTCCCCTTTCGATACAGGAACAATAATATTAATAGGGAATAGTAACAGAAAACATAGTTATACTGGTGTAACTATGGTTACACTATGGATTGTGCAAAGAGAACTGTATTTGTTTAAAAAGAGATATTGTAACCTAACTCAACTAGTCATAAGCCAAAATAATGGAATCAACTCACTAAACAAGGTGTACCCAGTTTTTTCCCATAATTTAAATGGTATTAAAAGGCTGCCATGGTCACTTAGTAGCACTTTACCATAGTATAAATGGCCCCAAAAGATAAAAAGTATTGTAGAGTAAGATTCACTATAATGTACTTGGACCTTCAGATTTCCAAGCATTTTTACAGAGCATATTGTGTTTCTCCGGAGCAGGTGTAGGTAGCTCATGAGCTTTGCCATCTGTATGAGGTTGTCAAGTGTTCATGCTCCAACCTTCATACAAATAATTTGCAAATCCCCTGTCTCCAAGGACTCTCACACACCACCTTTTTTCTTTCCCAGTTGGGCTCAGCAGGGTAGACCAGGGCTAGACAGACATTCAAAAATCCTGAGCCTGAATTGATTCAATCTTTGCAAGTTAGTCTAACCTGGCTAGAGTAAACCAGTTTGTAACCATACAGACATCCCAAACATGCAGGGACATGCCTGCAGTGGCTCAGGCTAGAAGCCAGGGGGAACTAGAGCAGCCCTCCCTTCCCTTCCACGGTGCTGAGCTGAGGGGGGAATGGCCAGTCCTGAGCTGAGGGGAGAATGTCCAGTCCCCAGCAGAGTGCTCTTATTAAGGAGGGGTCCCGCACCCACCAGCCCAGCAGGGAATTGATAACAGTGTTTATTTCCCTAACTCAGTGTTTACCACTCCATTAAACGAACAACAGAAAGACATTACCAGCTACCTATTGATTCCGCCCTTGTGCTGTCTCCCACAGCGTGGACCATAGGCAGCATGTGGCCTGCTCCCTAATGCTGTGTCTGTGAAAGGCAGAGGGGAGGGCGGAGCAGAAGCCAGGCAGACACCTGCAGTATCTGCCAAAGGTGCAGCCAGGGTGTGGGGGGAGGGGCATCCCTGTTGTGGAGCAGAGAGCCCTGCCCAGCCCAGACAGCATGCTGGGATGTAGGGGAGTCTGATTTAACTTAAACCAGCAAGAGGTCAGGGACAGCCATTGCATAAACTGGTTTGACACAAATCAGCTAAGTGTAATACTGCATTCAACCACGTTTATCTCAGACCAGTTTCAGCCATTTTCAAACTGGTTTATGTGCACTGAACATCTGTTGTGTTACAGGTTTAAACCAGTTTCTGATCACTTAAACCGGTTTATGTGTAATGTCTGTCCGTAGCCAAAATGAGCTCCTGCCTTGAGATTCTTCTGATCTAAGACAGTATATAAGAATCAAAACTAATAGGGAATACAGGACAAGGACCACAGTAATTAATGGGTTAAAATTTCAAATGTGCATAAGCAACTTATGCTTCTCAGCCCTGTCACTCTTGAAATGGGTCTTAGAAGCTTGTAAAATTTTAACCCATGTGTTTACATTGGCATTAGACAGTGGTCAATGGAGCCAACTGATATTTGGTTAGCCTGCTTCCCAAAACCATCCTAGGGAGGAATGGATCTTGTGGAGAGATGTGGGGGAGAACTGGGGTGTGGTTGCGTGGTGTAGTAGACAACCATTGATCCTCTGCATCATGGTGTACGCCTAAGAGGTCGAGTCAGGTGCCTGATGAATCTACTTTTACAGAGTCCTGTGACCATCACCCCAAGACTTTCCACATGTATGGCTAGGCAAGAGTATGGAGGAGAGGAGGCTGCCCATTTAGATTATTGAGACAGAATCCAAAGGCCAGATTGAGGCCAGATGTTCAGTGCCTCAATGGTTGTAGATTCTGCCAGAGAGCAACAGGTAAGAACTGCTGCTGACTGGCCTAACACCTCAGTGACGGTGAGTCCAGGAAACAGGTTGAAAGCAATTCACTGCATAAGGGGCAGTGCTGGTCGAGAAGCATTTGGGTAGCTGCCAAAGTCCAAACTGGTTTCTCACAGGCATGTGGTGAACAAAGCCGAATTATGAACAGGTCTAAAACATTTTGTTCTATTGCAGTTTCTGAAAGGTAGAAAGAGACATAGCACTTTCCTGCATCTGTTAATGCACTAGCTCAATAACTTCCCAGGCTCCAAAAAAGAAAAGGAGAAGCCTGATCTGCACCCACCAGAAACCCCCTCTCTGGTGAAGGGGTGAAAGGACTGTATCAGTGATGGCGAGGGAAATGGTTCCAACTGAAAAACTAAGCACTCTGTTTAAAGAGAAACAGTTGAGATGTTAAGAATCTCCTTAAAGGTCTCAAAATTTACTATTTTTTACATTGTAATCCTGGGACCTGCAAAGATTGCTTTCCTTATGCACTAATATTTGGCCACAAGTGCTATAAAAGGCCAGGTCCTTAGCTGTGCAATCTATAATAGACCCATCAAAGTCAGTGGACGGTTGCTGGTTATTTACAGCACTTGAGGATGTGGCCCACAAGACTCTGACAAGTTTGCTAAATTTGTAGATGTTACATGAAGTAAAATGCAGCACAGTTTGATCTGTCACTGACAAGTCAACCACACAGAACTGTCTGCACTACAAATGTCTTTGGGACATTTTAAGCATTGGTGTAAGCTAAAATAACTCTCTTGCCACAAATGGGAGTTCCAGGTGCTCAGCACCTGTGCAAACTGGCCACTTTAGTCACCTAATTATAAATATAGAAGTCTAAGGTCAGAAGTGCAATATTGAAAGTCCTGGCCTAAACATCTGCTGACCAGTGGCAGTCAGCCCTAGAAGGCTGTAGCTCACTGAGAGATCAGATTAAAAAGGTAGGTCTGGAGCGTGCAGGCACATACATGTCACTTATCTCAGAGCTCAGAACATCTTGCCTATTCAAGAGAAAGCAAAATTTAATTCCAAGGAATTCACACCACTTACCATGAATTCCTATCATGTGCTCTAGAATTAACACCCTTTCAGCTAAAATCTTCAAGGCTTCTCGAAGTTGTTGAACTCCTTCTCCCTGCAAGACAGCGTACAAAATGTTAGCATGTGCTTATGGAATCAGCTTGTTATATATTGATGTTCATAATGTAGCCCTCCAGGCTTCTAGATTTCACACTGCTAACATAGACCCTGCAATTTTCTTTTTATTAAAACATAAAAAGGTTGCAAGTCTGTGATGACAGGAGATACATCTCTATAAAAAACTGAAAAG